CTATAAGTGCACACCCTTCTTAAGTGCACACCTTGCACGGTCCCAAGCTCAGGACTTATTGCTAAATGCACACCCTCTATACTCTGCATGTGCATAAATTTCGTGGTTCCAGACTAATAAGTACTCCTCCGTAAGTACACGCACGTGATTAATATAAAAATCTGACCAATAAAATTACTTGATTTATCAAATATATCAAACCGCATATGAAATTGTACATATTCGCAAAGCAGTTTACAAACATGATCTTTACTTTTGAAGGCTATTTTTTTTATTAAAGTTACAAATGTTAAGAATATTTATGTTATACATATTTAGTTTGTAGTGATTTAAAAAAAAAAAAGTTTTTTTTTAAAAAAAAAGTTCTTTAAAAAAAAAGTTCTTTAAAAAAAAAAGTTTAAAAAAAAAATTTTTTTTTAAAAAAGGTTTAAAAAAAAAGTTTTTTAAAACAATTTTTTTTAAATTTATACGGCCTCCTAAAATTTTAGCTTTGAATAATTCTACACTATAAAAAAAATTTAATCCTTTGATAATTGCACTTTAAAAATAATCGCTTATTTTACTTTGATGCATTTGATTTGTTTTAATTTTTCTAACAAAATTTTCAATTTTTTTCATAGCCTTAATACATTCTTCTGCGCTGTCTTGTTGAAAAAGATACGTATGTACTGTTTCTAGGCTATTAATTGCCACCTCAGTGCTGATTACTGGGATTGCTGTACTATCGTCATTGTCATCATTTTCTTCCTCGGGGTCGTTAGTAGTTTGATCAGGCGTTCTGAATGTATTTACGATATCTACAATAACTTGATCATTATCGGGGATCTCATAAACAACGTCTTCCTCAGGAATAGACAAAAGCTCTTTAGCCTTCATTGGGTAGGTAAGATAATTATGAAGTGCTTCAAGTTCGTTGTCAAGATCATCAAGCTCCGCATTCACAGTTAGAGGAATATCATCTAAGAGATTTTGTAGTACAGCATTGGTATCTGTAGGAAGAATTTTCGTATGGTACCAACAATTGCGAATTGTATTGGCAGTGACCTCATCCCAACCTTTAATGATAAAACGTTAGGGTGCGCCATATCATAATTAATCAAAACTATGTAAGGTCAATCAATAAATTAATAATAATAGATTTTTAAACAACGTAGATCATTCGGAGTATCAATTTAATAGCGAAGACTAATTTATTAATAATAAATTTTGCGTAAAATAATATCTTTAATTTTTTCTTGCACAATTTTTTTAATTTAATATAAAAGGTTTTTCTGTAATTTTGCTTTTATTTCTACAATTATTCTCTATAAAAAATTTGAGCTATAAATAACGGGTCATTGAGTCTACACATCTAATTTTGTATAATGATTATTATTTATCTATAATAGGATGCCGTATAAACCAAAATTAAAAGTTTCATCTAAACGAAAATTTCAGCTAAAAATTGCAAGAGCAAAATTTGATTCGCAAAAAAATAATGACTTACGAAATAAGATTAATCAGTATTTAGAAAATATGAATTATTGTCAATTAAAACAAATTCACGATTATATTATCAAGGAATTAAATATAGAGGCAACTAGTGAAACTGATGACAAACGAATAGAACTGATATCTAATATTTTACAATTACCTGATCAGCAAGTTCATGTAGCTACTACATTATTTGAAAATATGCGTTATTCGAAAGGTTCTAATGAAGGAAAAATATTATCACCATATCTTCAAAAGAAGGCTAAATTATATATTGAACAAAGTTTATATAAGGCCGGCCAATCATCCAATTCATTAACTAAAGCTAATAATAATTTGCATTTGGAAAATGTTAATTTACAAAAAACTATTACTCAACTTCAAAAGTCTAAAGTGACTTCTACTCAAAAACTTCAGAGTTTAAGTGGAAAAATTTCACAGTTAACAAGAAAACGAAAAAATCAAATTGCAAAAATTCGTGCAAATGCTCGACGACCATTAACAGATACTCGAAGTTTTAATGCAATGATTAATTCTTTTATAATGGAAAACAAAAAAGAATACAAATCAGATTTTATAAATATAATGGTACAAATGTCACAAGTTGGTAAATCATCATTTCGTAGCACAGTACAGGCAACACAATTATTTTTAGGATTTTTAACAGGAAAGTCTAATTCGCATGGTTCATCACCCCAGTCACTTGTTCGTTGGCACAAAGAAGTTTCTAAATTACATGTTAGTCAACTATCTAAAAATATGGGCAATTCGGAATTTTTTTCATTTGGTTTGATGGCCGATGAATCAAAACGTAGAGAACAAAAAGTTTTTGTTAGTTGTATAATGTATTGGAACTCATTAACAAACTTACCAGATACATGTCTTCTTGAAGTAAAAGATTTATTACATTGCAATGGAGATACCATTGCTCAAGCTTTTACAGATACATGTGTTCAATTTGGACTTGATTTATCAAAATGTTTTACATGCCTTTCAGATAACACAAACTATATGAGCGGCAAATTAGGTGGGGCTATAGCAAAATTTAATTTAAAAAATCATACAAATTGTTATCGGATTCCCTGTGGAATGCATGTAGCACATATAATTATGATGGGTTTTGAAGAGACCGCATTTGGAAAATTACCACCAGCTGCAGGTTTAACAGATAAAAAAGTTCCATTTAATCTTTTAAAATTAGCTTACAAACTTCATGATGGTTATGGCGATAGTGATAAAGAAAGCCCTATGGATATACGATCAGAACACATTCATCGTCTCTATAAAGATTTACTAGGATTTAAAATAACAAAATATCAAAACCCAATTCCAACCCGCTGGCTTTATGAACTTGAATGTGGAGAACAATTTCTTGATCGTTATGATTCACATAATTTATTTGTCAATTGGTTTATACCTCAATTAAAATTACGTAAGAAGACACCACAAGAATATATTAAAAAATGGGAACTTTTTCAAAGCTGGCTTAATGATCCATTACTAAACCTTCAATTAAAATGTTTAGTTAAATTTGGAAATAAATTTTATCGTCCAATGATTCAATTTATAGCTGGATTCGATTCTGATCTCAAACCTATTGGAAATGATTCTTTTACTCACTTACCAATGGGATGTCGTTCACATCAAATGCCTGAATTCGTTCTTCGTACTACACATGAGTTGTCAATTATAATACAAAATTTATATCACTTTTTTGGCGAAGAATTGTTAGAGGCAAATGAAATACTTAACCATACTACTTTTGAATCTTTAATTACTTCTTTAGAACTTGGAGTTCAGAAAGCTCTTGAACTACACCAAAAATGGTTTCACGAGTGGCTTCATCTACCCTTAAGTATTTGCCAATTGGGTGGACCAAGAGCTCAGAAATTTGCATGTAGTTTTGCATTTGTTATTTTGAAACATCCTTGGCCAAGAACTCCGACTCTTCGAGAAATTTGTTATGCAAAATTTCTTGAAGTTGATACAAGTACCAGAAACTTCAATGATTTTGGATTATCAGAAGCTCTTAAAAATTTTAATTTTTATACTGAATTTATAGCATTTATTCATAATACTAACCAATCGATTTATTCCTTTCCTAGATTATTAGACTTTGTTAAACATCGTATTTGGTATTTAATTACACATCAACAGCAGATTGAGGGACTTTTTAACAAATTCGATTACAAAACACACCCAAATATGTCAAAGGATACTCAAGAATCTAAAATGTGTCTTGCAAACACTTCTATTTTTAAATGTTCAAAAGAAGAATTGAAGACAGTACGTGCTCATAAGAAACGAAAAATCTCAAGTGAGACTGATCAACATGGAGAAGACAAAGCGAATGAAACATTTACTACACTTTTTATTAGACGTTAATTGTCAATAGCCAAATTTAAACTTTTTTTAAATATACCGATTGTTTTTATTAAAAATAAAATTAAAACTGCTTTAAAAACAATAACAGCCCAAAAATATTTTTCTTAAATAAAATAAAATAATATTTTCTTTTTTTTTGGTACCTTTTTTTTTTTTAATTGAAATAAACATTTAATTCATATAACTTAAATGCAACATTTTGGCTTTAACTAAAAATGAATGAAAGCGTATTTATTATTATAAATTTGACAAGACTTTCAATGAGCCTTACTTTTACGTGTTATTTTACAATAATCCTTAGCCGATTCTATTATTCGAATACAATTGAATTGCTGAATTTGCATACTAGTAAGGATTGATATTCGTGTAACATCAAAAATCTGCACTTAGCGGATTTA